GGGTGCAGAGTGTGAAAAGAAAGGAGCTGGAGGGAAACGACGCGGCATGACACTAGCGCCTGCCCAGGGGCGCTGTGGGGACTGCAACCCCCACTGTCCTATCCGCACAGCGCCTGCTATTGGATGCAGCCTTCACAGTGAGACCCTTTTACCATGGTCACTACGGGATGAAGATGCACGGGATGCGGTGGAAGCTGCCCTCCCCGCCCCCACTGTGGGGGGGGGGAGGTGAGGTCCGAGCTCCCCACAGTCTCAGGACTGTGGGGAGACGCTGCTGTTGGAGGCTCGAGCTCGCGTCTTGTCACACATCACATGTCCTACCCGAGGACCCGCTGTGCGTGCAGAAAGGCTTCTGTCACAACCCGGAGACTCCACGCGCAGTGCGGTCTCCAGTGCGAGGGAACAGGGCAGCGCGCGGCCCCTGCTCCTCAGCCTCTTCCCAGAACCCAGGCCGGAGGGGAGCCATGCTTTCCCCGGGACGGAGACCTGGGGGCCCCACTGCCCACTTGCTGGGCAGGGGCCTCGCAGACACGAGGGCACAGCCTGTCAGGGCCCCATGGACACCCGAGACCTCACCCCGGAGCGCTAGACTGCAGCCCCGTCTCCTCCCCCGCCGCCCAGACACTCACTGACTACAAGCCCACACTTTCCAGGCCTGGACAGGATCCGAGTCAGACCGGCGACTCTGACGGCCCGATCGAAGCCCGGAACAGCCGCAGCTCGGGGCTCCTCTGCGCACGCAGCACAGAGCTGGAGCCTCCCAAAGTCTCTGCTGTTCGGCAGTTCGGCATGAGGCTGAAGGCCCCCAGGGCACAGGTGCATCTTCACCTTTCCCGCCAGGAAAGGGTGGCCCCCTGGAAAGACCAAGGAGGCTGTCAGAGGTGATGGCCGCTTCCTCACGGGGTGGCGCCAATGCCCAGCATCCTGGGCTGTAGCTTGGCACAGACTTGGGCTGTTTGCGAGTGACCCGGAAGGAGTGCTTCCGGCTCAAGGGCGCCATCTGGAGACTTCCGGGAAGGGAATCGCCCGGACACACCTGCGCATGTGCAGGAGGCACTGGTGGGGAGACCCGAGAGGAGCGCTGGTGTCGGAGTGGACACGGGCCTTTGGAGAAGGCAAGAGCACAGGTCCGGGCCAGAACACGCTCTCGCACGTCCACACACAAGCTAACAAACTACCGGCTGGATGCCCTGACCAGAACGCTCACAGAGGGCCAGGACACGGCACCGAGGCAGACTCGCTGGCCTACGGGCCCAGCATGCGCTCGGGGTCACAGGCCTCACACGTGGTGGGGCTCTGGCTGCGGGTCCGTCGTGGCTCTCAGGCAGCAGACTGAGAGACGTAGGGGCGGGCGCAGGACTGAAGCGTGGCGGTCCAGGCCGATGGGAAGCCCGCACTGAGAGTGGGATCTGGAGACCACCTCAGCTGGACACAACCGACAGAGAAAGGAAACTCAGAAGCTGATGAGTGGGCTGTCCCGTCAGGCACCGGAAACGGCAGCGCCACTGATGGGGAAAACGGGCCCAGGGCCCCGTGTCGCGGTGGTTGGCGGCCGCAGCCATGGGACGAGCTGCCGTCCATAGCCTGCCCTCCACACTCGGCCCGAGGAGCCCAGCCAGACAGCTCCACGGCAAGGCTGTGAGGGCAGTGGGAGAATCACGGGGATGGGGCGGGAACCTTGACTTCAGAGGCTGGCAAAGGTCCTGTTTTACACCAGCAGGCAGAGCAGGAAAGGGCGTGAGGAAGGCAGGCTTGATGTCACTTCACAGCAGGTTTACGTTTCAGAACCCGGTTTGTGGTCACTCAGCATCACCACCCTCTGCGGGCCATGGCGTCATGCTGCACCCTTGGCAGGCTGAAGAGAATGTCCCAGATGCAGCCAGTGGTTTCCAGCTCATTTGGCTCCAGCCTCGCCTCTGCCCTCCAGGCTAGCAATATGCCAGCCAGGTCCGCATGCTGGGAGTCTGGAAGCAGCCTCACCACTAACCAGGCATCCAGGGAGCCTGAAGGAAAGTTCTGAGTCACAGGCTATTTCTACTCAGCACTGAGCTGGCCGAGGCCACACTACCAGGCTCCCAGCTGTGTGTGGCTGCCTTGCTCTCTAACCTGCTGTGTCCTGGAGGCCGACCCTCTGCTCGACCCACCAGTCCACCGGGTCCAGATTCCCCAAGGCCCGGGCAGCCCCCAGCTGACTGCAGGCGCCTAGGGCACTGAGCTCAGGCCTGTCCCACTGTAAGAAGAGACGGGAGACGGCAGCATCATGCCTGTGTGAGTGGAACTGTGAATAGCACTGCCAAGTCCCCCTCCTGTTCAAATTCACACTCCTACCAGAGGCAGGGGAGGACTGGCTTGCCCACGCCCAAGCCAGCAGCACCGTATTTCAACTGGAATATTAGCAAATTGGAAGGTGTCCAGAGCAGAGCAGAGAGGATGGCAGAGTGTGCCAGCTTCTAAAAGAAGCCTCTCCAGAAGAGAGGAAGGGTATAGGGCTCTCGTGAGGAAGAAGAGTTTATGCTGGGCTTTGTCATTGGGAGTGAGGGTCAAGTTCAGCTTCCCACGTGCATCCACTGGTGAGTGTGTCCACTCACACCTGTCCCTGAAAAGCTAATGACCTAAGTGATTGTGTGAGGACCCAGGGGCCAAATGTCAACAGGATAATCTATCTTTCTCTGTATCATTTTTGCTGTGGAGCTGATATCACATAAGGTGATTGTAACAATGTAACAACTTTTTTACTCACTTTTTGTGCATGAACTAAGTAAAAAACTGGCTAATAGCCAATTGAATTATTAACATGTTTAATGTCACCAGTGATCTTAAACCAGAGGTTGTTTTAATCTATCAGATTAGAAAAGATATAAAAGAGTAATAAAAGTTTTTTGCAACGGTGTAAGGAGGGGGATAAATGGTGATGGAAAAAATTAAATAATAAAAAAGTAATAATAATGCATTATCATTATAAAAACATTATCATTATAAAAACAATGTAAGGAAATTAACCCGTTCACGCACAGTTGGGTGAAGTATAAACATGTATGAGCTTTCTGGAAATAAATCTAACAGTCACAGAAATACTGTGCCAAGCGTGCACCTGCTTTAACCAACATTCTACACTAGGAAGGTACCCTGGGACATCACGACAGGTGTACGTGACCGAGCAGAGGACTTCCAAAGCCACTCTCTTCACGCTGATGAAAAACCGGAAGCAACCTCAGTGCCCACCTGTGTGGGCTCCGTGACACCAGCCAGGATCCGGGTGCAGCCCCCTGGTGCAGCCATTCACACCCTGAAGAAGAGCTGCGTGCTGCGTCACATCCCAGCTGACCCTCCAGATTGGCTTCTTACCCTGACAACCCTGCATGTGTCCCCAAAGGGACATCCATGACCTCCCTGTCCTCTGGCTGCTGGCCGGGCTGGCCCCTGGAAGACACAAGTAAGAAAGGAAGAGTTGGGCAGATCGTATGATCTGAGCATGTCTTCCCTCTGTTTCTCCCCCAGGGGCACTGGGGCAGGCTGTGTCCCTCTCCTGGGTCCTAAAGCCACACTTCCCTTCACCCCTTTAGACTCAGGGGCAGGGGCAGCGCCCCACTGCTGCTGTGCCTGGGGTGGGGGAGGGTCGCCAGCCTTTGCCGGCTCCCTCTGGCCTACCTACGTCCTGTGATGCAGGTGTCGCTCTCGCCACCTGTGACGGAGAGTTCAAGGAGCCAAGAGACGCAGCATTTTCATCCTAGCCAGCCAATGTTATCTGGTGTCAGGCAGATGTAAAATGCACGACAACTTGCATCTTTCCGTACCAGCTGTTCTATCTTCTTGCAGAGTGCCATTTAAAAAGCATCAAGCCGAGAGGCGAAGAAGAAACAGTAATCCATAACAAAACACTATCAATAACTGAATGGGAACACACCCTGAAAAGCTGAGATGATGGTGACCCCCAGACAGCCTGGGGTCATGGAAGGCAGCAAGGATCCCTCACAAGGAGACATCACCTCAACTCAATACAGTAGGGGCCTTGCCTGCCTTGTCCCCCGTTTCCACAACACCTAAGCAGTGTCTGGAACAAAGTAGATACTTAATAAACATGTCAAGGAAATGAACAGGGTTAGCCCAAGCTAGGAGAAAATTGTTGCAAAGCAGAGTTCTCATAAAGGAAGAGCGTCTAGGTTACTGCAAGAATTCTTACAAGTCAACAATGAGACAAGCAACCCAAAACAGGGCGCCTGGAGAGAAACAGGTCCGAGTGATGCCCAGGGTAGAAACGGCACCAGATGCCTAACCAAGAAGGAGCCCACTCCCACTGCTGCCCCCGTGTCCCACCCAAGCTCTCAATGCCATGAAAGTCACTTCACGTTTTTAGAAGATACATTAGTCAGCCTAGAGACATGCCCATTAAAAAGGAAACCTGACATGAAAATAACTGTTTCCTTCTATCCATTAATCTCATCCTAATTAACTCCCTAAAAAATATGGGTAATAATAATTTACACAAAAAATGAGCGACATATAATTACGTTTTTATTCACAGTCTTTTAAAAAATAGAAAGCGTTAAGTATTTTGAAAAACACTCAGGCCATAATCACTTAGCAGCCACAGCGTTACAAAACTAAAGCAACCCAGAATGGGTGGCACAAAGGAACACGCCCTCTGCTGGTGCCCCCGATGAGGGACTTGGGGTGCCTGCCGGGAACTCGGGCCCACACCTCCACTTCCCCGTCACCACTCGTCACTGGAGTCACAGGCCTGCTTCTGGGGACCACTCTGCCAACACACGCAATGTCTAGACATCAGGTGAGCGTCTTCAAGGCGGTTCCATTTTTTTCCTTTTCCTCTGGAAGGCAAGTTCTGCGGTGGAGTGGGATAGAGAGGACCACGGGACAGCGAGGACCACAGGACACCAGGCCCGTGATGTGGTTCACCTCGCCTGCTAGGTCTAAAGCACGAGAAGGACGGAGACCTGTGCCACGCTGTACGGTGTCAGGGCCACTCGCCGCAGGCAGATGGGCAAGTTAAACAGAATTAAAACTCCCTCCCCAGCCCCACACGTGGCTGGCGGAGAGAGAACATCTCTGTCGCCAGAGGAAGTTCTCTCGGGCAGCCCGGCCGTGGGAAGTGCTGCTTCTCCCTGTGCTCAGCCAGGGTGTAGGCTGCGGGTGGAAGCAGCCCAGAGAAGCACTTTTCCTCCCAGAATACTCCCAGATTGGCAGCGGAGTCACAGAAGGGGAAAGGCAGCCTTCTTTACATAGAATGCCCTCCCCTGTGCGTGGAAGGGCTGGTCCTCGGCGAGGGATCGGATACACCAACGAGACTCCTCCAAACACCTGGCAGGGAAACTGGGGGAGAGAGTGGGGCAGACAGGGAGCAGCCCAGGGGGGGCCTGCTCCACCCCAGCCCCCCCCGCGGAGCTGACGGCCGTGGCTGTGAGCATGTGCTCCTCCGGGGGCGGGCCCTGTTCTGGCCGAGACACGAGGTTGGTCCTGGGGCGCGTTGGGGTGGAAGCTGAGCACGTCTTCCCTGTGCACTCTGAGCAGAGCCGCGGGGCTTGGCGGGTCCCTGACAGTTGTCCAGCGTCCTGGTCCTTGAGAACTGACTGCATTTCACAGCCGTGGCACAGACCGTGAGCTGTTCACCCGAGGCCTACCATCTCCTTCCTCCTTATTGTGAGAATGCAGAGTTTTGTGGAAGGCTGTTATATTTCTCAGGTGACTCTGTGGTGGCCAATGACACTGGCTGAGGAGATGTAAGAGAAGCTGTGGGCGCCCGAGCACGTCCTCTCCGAGGGAGCGCCTGCGACCTGGCATGCCCTTGGCGCTTCCTCCGTCTTTGTCAGGGAACTGACAGGAAAAGCCAGGAACCTCAGGGGCCACCTTGACACTGCCTGACATCTGGGAGCCACTGAAGCAACAAGGGCAGTAGCCTACGACCGCTCCTCCTTACAAGAGGGCAAAAGGACCCCCTGCTCTGTCTAAGCCACCGTTCGGTCCGGGGACGTCGAGAGCCGTCCTCCTCGGTTCCGCAGGAAAGCCAGACTTCCATCCAAAAGTGAAAGCACCTTCCTTGAGGAGTCTGTGCATCGCTCAGGCAGTTCACGTAACTCCAGGGTCAAACAAATAAAACAAAAGCGAGCACAGAAATTTTAACTTGGACTCACCTCTACACAGACCAGGACTGGAGGAAATGACTAGGCTTATTATATAAAATAGCTGCAATTAAGGAAAAGAAGAGAATTTTGGCATAGTCCACCGGGAAGTTTTCTGAGTGCCTCGTAGGTTCTGACTCCTGTCTTAAACACAGACCTGCCCTGTGTTCACCCAAATTCCTGGTAAGATGCCCACGGCTCAGATAATTAATCAGGTCATTATTTAATGTATAACTTCATTTATTTGGGGTAAACAACATAAGAAATGCAGAATTGAGAATTTATTTCACTGATGCCAACCAAAAAAAAGTCAACACCAGAGACCGACAACTCGATGTTTCCCCCTTGGGGGCGGCACAAACACCTGGCAGCGCTCTCTGAACGACCCCGGAGTTCTAACGGCGGGTTTAGTTAAGCACAAGCACCTCGGCACTGCTGTAAAACTGAAACCAAAGCCGAGGGCTCCGCAAATGCTTTCTCTGCACCAAATCAGTACCATTAGCTTTCTGGAAGTCCTGGTGAGTGGGCACGAGTTAGAAAAAACAAGTATTTCCCGCTATCTAAATGGTCTACACATTCACAATGTTTGGAATTCGGGCCTTTTAAACCATTTAACTATTCCACTTATTTTGAAACTGCAGACAAACTGGAAAAATGAAATGTCAGGCTAAAAATGGGGTGCTGCGTATTTTTCACTCGCCCACTTCTGAGTTCCCACCCCTGTGAGTGAGCCACACGCAGACGGTGGCCCCGCGCCGCCCCCAAGACACCCAGCGCACGGTGCTCTGGGGGGGGGGATCTTGCCAAGGATTCTGCAGGGTCGCACCAGCTGGCGGCCATCCTGCACCTGCAGCTCGGCCCTAAAACTGAAGTTCAGCCCTTGGAATCTACCCCATTCGACACGTGATGAATGGGGGTGCGCAGTGATGTCGCTCACCTCACCCGCAGGTGGTTAATGTTTGAGGAGAGCAAGAAGCGGTAATGAATTAAGAACACTTGAAATAAAATACTAGTATTACATAATAATCGAATCATGGTCCATTTCTTATAATGTAAGAAATTCAACTCAGCTTCGAACACTGCTGAAGAAGAGTCACTAGAAACCTTTTATTGGGAGTAAAACATAGGCATTTCCTATAATCAGGTTGCACGTACGTGAGGAGCGGTTATTTCACAAGTTCCCGACTTTCCGAGGTTTGCACGCTGAACTCACGTGCGCGTCGTCTTCAGGAAGGCGCAGTGACTGGAAGGACCAGGGTGTGGTCAGGGACGGAGCGGCCACCACGTCCAGCCTGCAGCCGAGAGCCCGGCGGGGGCAGAGCTTCTGACCACACATGTGGACAGAGAGTAAAAAGGTGAGTTCCAACGTGGTTCTAACGCCAGCAGTGGTCTATGTGGGGTTTTGGAAAAACGGTGCCTGGATAAAGGACCAGGACAAGGCGGGTCATGGACGGGGTCCCACTTTCGAATGCAGAGGCTCACAGAGCAAAGGGCGTGAGACCAGAGCTCCGCTTCCTGAGAGCCAGCGTGCGGAGCCCCACTTCCCGAGTGCAGGGCCGCATTCCAGGTGCAGTCTCGGTGAATGCGAACTAAGTAACAGACGAGTGAGATGACCGGGAGGTGGCAGAAGGGCCCTGGGCACTAGCAAGAAAGGCAACCACACCTTCACAGGAAACAGAGTCAGAACCGGCAGAGAGACGGGCTTCGTGCGGGATGGCATTAAACACTGGCTCTGAATTCGCTGCGACTCCTGTCCACAAGAGTTGAGGGCCGCCCCCAAACACCAGCAGCTGGGGGGCAAAAGGGCCGCAAAGTCAGGGAGTCAGGCAGGAGGCTGGACTGATTCATATCCTGGTTACTTACAAAGTATGAAGTGGCTGTTCTCCATTCTTGTAAATGACCATAACTCCCCATTCACTACCTCACACTCATTGGAACCACACAACCTGTAACTAAAGCACTGCAGAGGCGTCCACCAGTTAGAGGGGTGTTGTCCAGAGCAGAGTGTGGAAGCACCGCCGCTGTTCTGGGGGTCCAAGTGGGAGCTCAAGTCCAGTCTGGCTAGAGCCCTGCTAAAGAGAGGTGTGTACTTACATAATGTAAGAATTTGTCCATGACATTGTGTTGAAAATAAACCATGTACTTCATTAACAACAGGTCTATTCCAGCAAAGTGAAACAGACAACAAAGGAAATTACCTGAAAGTCTTGGGCCATAAACTCTCCCCGTAGTTACTCACCTCAGTGGGACAACTTCTTCCTTCTCTTGAATGATCAAAATAATTGTCTTCCCCTTCACTTCTATGTTAATAACTCAGGCAAAATTCAGTATTTTGTTGCTTTTAGCCTCTCAGTATGGTCCTTCTTTGTGCCTAAAAATGAATCCGTATTCTCAGTGTTACAGACGAGTCACGGACAGCAGATTCTGCCCCACCGCGGCCAGACCCCCATACTCCCTGTGAGACACAGATCTGCATTGCTCAGTTCAGGTTCAAGAACCCCCACACTGTTTTCCAAAAGAGCAACTTGTGATTACAACCACTGCATCACCACTGCAAACACGCCCCACTCTCCCCGGACGCCGAGGCCCGCGCATCGGTTTGGTCCCTGGGTTCCTGGGGAGCTCCCTGGTCCCGGTGCCGGGTGGACCTCTGTCTCACCACGCCCATCTCCCCATCGGACCCCTCGCTTATTTAGACCCGGGGTCTCCATAAGTCTAGCCACAACCAGTGGAACCCGGGGTGGTCCGCTTGCTTCCACCTCGGGTCCCCAAGCCTCCCTGCAGGTTCCTGGTCTGAGCTGTAACTGAGGCTTGACACTGGGGGCACCCCAGGCGCCAGACCACATATACTCAGGAAAAAAGCACCCGTGAGATGGAGGGGTTATTTTCCAAATTAACACGGTCTGGCTGGCGCTCGGGGCACCCTGGTGAGAAGTCCACTCCTCCCCACACCTCCTCCGCAATTGCTCGGCCCTGGAATGACCACCTTGCTCTTTCCTGTCCCTCTCCCGCGGCCCCGCAACAGGCAAACGGCTCCTCTGCTAGCCAGGCTCCTTGGCAACCCCAAAGGACTCACTACCTCACCCTCCCGCGGTTCCCGTGCAGCACCCCTGCACCTCTACGGGGTGGGTGGCTAGCACAGGAGTGGGGATTAAGGGGAGAACAGGATTCCTCATAAACACCGGGCTGCTGACTCTGCTCTCCCTGGCACTCCTGGTCGCACCGCATTTAGCATCCTCCAAAGCGCACCGACATGAAAGCAGTATCTGCAATACTTGAAATGCTTGAAGTGCACCCTGCTTCCTCCTGCCTCCCCCAAACCCACATTCTTTCTCAAGAATGTGGGTATTTGGTCTGACATCCGATTTTGTTTGGAAGGGGCTGGCCTGAATTACCTGAATAGTTTAGTTTTCCACCCCTTGGGTACAAGCTAAAATGCAGTTGGACCTGGAGGAAGAGCTGGTAGGTGCCCAAAGCCATTCCGGCTCCAAAGGCTGAACTCCTCTCTGCCCGCCCCAGAGAAGGGGAGAGCTCGGGTTCCCTCCCAGAGCCACGGCACCAGCCCAGACCCGGGCACCTGCGGTCCCCAGCACCAGAGCGCAATCGAGCCTGAGCCTCCGGAGGAGGTGAAAGGAGAAAGCTCGCCCCTTGGCCGACCCTCCCTCGAGGGAACCAACCTGCCCACGCAGCAGGAGCCCAGGCCCCAAAACCTCCGCGGCCGTGCCCACAGAAAATCGAGGCCGAGACCCAGCTGCGCCCGCCCTCCCGCCAGTCCCGCGCCGTGCAGCTCACACTGCCTGCTCGTGGGAGAAGCCCCAAGGCTCCCGGTGCAGCGAGAGGCGCCCCGGCTGGAGCGCCCCGGCTGTGCTGGCCCCGGAGTTCTTCAGCTGCTTGATGAGCACGAAGAGCAGGAGGAACAGTAAGAAGAGCAGGAAGAAGAAGAGCGCCAGGTAAACCAAGAAGTTGAGCTCCCACTCCATGCCGGAGGCGCCGCGCTCCGCGGCCGTGCGCGCCCCACCAGGTGCAGCGGGCGGGGAGACGCGCCCGCGCGCCCACCTTCGGGCTCCTCAGGTCCGCGCTCGGCCTCTGCCAACTGGGGAAAGAGCCCAGGCGCTGGCGCGATCCCTGCCTGAGTCTCGACTCTCTGGCAGCAGGCAGGAGAGCCTCCTCCCCGGAACCCCCGGACCGGTGGGGACTTTCTGGGAGCGGACCTAAATGGCTGGGGCAGCAGGGAGAGGCCCCAGTCAGCCTCCCAGGGGGTGTCCGGGCTGGTGTTTTGCAAATAATCTTCAAATTCCAGGGGGACCTCTACCCTCCTCTCTCGCTAGTAATTTCTTTTGTTAGTTTCCCTGGTCCTGGCTTTCCTGAAGAGCAGGTGATGCGGTGGCCAGAAACCCAAAGGAACTGAAGGGGACAGTGGGGGCTCAGGGTGGATTCCAGCCTCAGCCACCTTCCCGTGGACAGCAGCAGGCCGTTCAGAAATGCGTAATGGCAAAGCACATGTTAAGAAAGTTATATTGTACAAAGCTTTCCAGAGCCGACTTAAAATTGTTTCTTTGGTGGAAAGCAAAAACAAAACACAACAAGCCACTTCCTTGAAACGCTCCTTCAAGTCCCTGACACCTCTCTGAAGACCGCCCATAGGGTGCAGCTTTGAAAGACACAGGTTTCCCTATCGCTGAGTAACAAATCACCAGTAAACTTCGTGGCATAAAGCTACATCGCCATTGCCCACCTCTCACAGCTCCTGTGGGTAAGAGGTTAGGATTCTGGGTGATTCTGGCTTGGGGTTTCTCATGAGGTGACAGATGTCAGCGGGCCCGAGGGCCCCGCCCCAGAGCTGCAGCGCCCTGTGGGGCTGCTCCCAAAGTCCCACGCTGTCCTTCTGCAGTGTCCGTCTAGTCACCCAGGTCAGCCCCGCCCACTGGAGGGTCCAAGGACAGGAACACTAGTGGGAGGGGTCACTGGAGCCATCTGGGAGTCCGGCTGTCAAAGCCGCCAGTACGGTGGTTCTCGTTACCCTCTCGGTGGGCCTCCAGCTTCATTCCATCTTTAGGTGTGAAAACTCGGGAAGCCCGGGGCTGAGTTCTGGGCGAAAGGCCAGACACACACATCCCAGATTACTGAGCTGGCTGCCTGGGAGCCACGGCTGCTCCAGGGACAGCTGGGGGTCCCCAGAGACTGGATGGTGGGGACCGGGCCGTGCCCTGGAGCCTCCAGGGCCCAGGCGTCGTCTCAGCCCCACCCGTCAGGGGGCACGCCCGCTCCTGCCTCTCAGTCCCGGCCCTCGTAACACGCCTCGCTCGCCTCTCCCACGGCTGGCTGTGAGGGCAGGACACAGGTGGGACGCTGGATGAGAATGTGTTTCGCCAGGAGAACGTCAGGCACTGTTAGTGTCACTGCACAGACCTCAGGTACCGGGCTCCACCCGGCATCTTACTGAGGATCTCTCTCTCACACACACACACACACACACACGTGTGCACGCACACGCGCACACACACACACACACACACACACACACACACACACACACTATTTCAGGGGTATGCTGCAGCTGGCTCATAAATTTTTTTTTCCAAAAAATTTTGCAAGCCGTTGTTAAAACAAAGCTATTATTAAAAATTAAATCAGATAAACTTATAATTAAATTATGCCAACAACAAAAGTGATAAATGCTGAAAACTCATCACTCCCTCACTATTTCAGGACACATCACTGCCATCTGTGCCCCAGAGGGGAGTGTCTGTTGGAGCTGCACGGCTGAGCATGCTCACATCACACCCAGGCGGACGCTGGGGCTCAGGCTGGCAGCGGACCGACCCAGGCCCCAGCCCGACGTCTACCCCACACCCTGCTGCACAGGTCTGCATCCTGGCCTCGTCTCCTGCTCGCCGGGCGACCTTGGACATCTTTGGTTGCCTACCATGCACCTCATCCCTCCTTCCTCTTTCTAATAGAGTCCGACTTTGTCCCATGTTTCTCTCTTTCCCACATTCCCCAACAACTTAGAGGAAACTGTTCTGGGGAAGTGAGTTCCAGCTGGTCTAAAAGTCATTCAGGAAATGTGACCCAGAAATACCACTCACAGCCTGTGGTCAGGGTCACCCAGGGCCCGTGGTCCTGGTCACCCAGGGCCCGTGGGCACCAGAACTACACCACCAGCTCTCTCTGGGTCTCCAGCTTGCCCACTGCAGGTCCTGGGAATTTCCAGCCTCTGTAATTATGTGTGAGGCCATTTCTTGTAACAAATCTTTTCTATGTCTCCTACTGGAGGTTCTGTTTATCTGGAGGTCCTGGACTAATATGTGTTCCCATGCAGGCATGCACCACTCTTGTGAACATCTTTTACTCACCTGGAGCAATCCAAGGGCTTTACCACGTGACCTAAAACATGAAAATGATCTACTTTGGCTGTCGGTTGTGGGAAGCATATCCATATCCCTCCTAAAGAACTGTTTCCTGTCGAGTTAAAGATGCTTAGAGCAGAAAACCACGTGCCACTTGGTGCATGTGAAAATACTTGTCCTTAGGGTTCCCCTATTTCCGGGACAACAGCATATGGCCAGGGTGCCGGTTAGAAACCATGGCATCTGTAATGCGGTGTATCAGAAACCCATGGTCACCAGTGCTGGTTGGGGTCCACAACAGAAACTCCGGGGACAGACTCGGAGGCCCCCACTTGGAAACACTCCTGCAGGCCCTTTTAGCATCGCGCTGTAAACCAGCAACCAGAGACCGCACACCTGGCCCTCCCTCTGGCCTCTGCATCCGCGGTCTGGAGGCCACTCCGAATCCATCCAAAGGCCCTCCCAGACCTCAGACCTCCCCCCGAAGTCGCTGCTTCAGACCACAGGCTGCTGGCCCTCGAGAGGCCAAGTCTCTTTCCATCACTCCACCCATACGGGCTTTCTTTTAGCTTAACGGACCCAGACATCTGAACACCAGGCTGGTCAGCACCACAGAGAGAGCACGTATTTAAGCACTTTCCAAGTTCAAACGCTATGGATTATAAGCTCGGCAGTAAAGAGACTTCCTGTCCCTCTCTGTGACCTGTGACACACTGCTCGGGGCGCCTGGCAAACCAGTGGCGTCAACATACCCACACGTCTCGGGTCTTCTTTCCTCCGTGGTGGACACTTTGGGTCGGACTAGGTGCCCCGTTACAGCAATGACTCAGGGATGAGAGTGAAGCTGGGCAGCCCCAGAGAAAACACACACCCCCGTGGGCCAGTGCACACCTGGCTCTTCCTCGGGGCCTTCGTCCTCGCACCCTCTTTGGGTGCTGTCTGGCTGAGCTGGGGGCTGTGACTGTCACCGTTCTCCACCCACTGCTGCTGGTGGCCGCACTATTTCTCAACGGTGAGAAGAGATGAACAGACAACTTGTTATACGAAACTCAGCACCTGCTACCTGCGTAGTTTTTGGTTCTTCGTGTTTTCTTCTGTCCTGTGTATCTTGTCAGATGAAAAACCAAGTCTGCTGCAAGAGGTGAGGAGCCACGTGGCAGTTCCATCCATCTCTGCATCTCCCTGTAGTCACCAGAAAGGGGCTTCCTCCTCCTGCCCCGATCCCTTCAGGTTTCTGTCTGCGGCCTTCTCTGTGCTTCTCCCTGCGTTAGCTCCACAGCTCCGATGACTTCTCGGTCTCGCCCAAACCAGGGAAGTGGAAGAACGGTGTAAGGGGGGACTTGCTGCCTCGGCTGCAATGACTGGGTGGGCTAGGAACCCCAAGCACTGGGAGGCCTGTGACCCACAAGCAGAAGCTGATCGGTGGCCCTGCTCACTGCCCACACCAACCACGGCCCAACCCTCTCCCTTCAAGGGAGCAGTCATTCCTGGGTTAAGCCGCATGCCTGCTGCTCCCCAGAGCACCCCCTGGGCACCGGGCACAAACCACCCAGCGGCTCAGTGGAGCCCGGGCCTCTCCACAGGGACAATCACCCTGAAGAGCGCCACTCAGCCACGGTGCCCTCGGAGGGAGACCTGCGGGAGTCTAGGCCGGGAGCAAACAACCAACCACGAGACGCCCCCGGCGCTCTCAGAGGCCCTGGCCGGCTGCTGGGGCAACTTCGGTGCTGTCTCCTCTTAGCCCTCCTTCCCCGCTGAACTCTTATTTTCCCTCCTGTGCTCGCTTTGTGATGCAGGCAGCCTGCGCCCCAGCTGAGCTGGCCTCTACTTGGGGTTTACCCAATGCTCCTTTAAATTAGAGGGACCCCCATACGACTCCAGGCATTTACACTTGGACAGCCTGGCCATATGGGCGCCCACCTCGCTACCCACGTGGACCACTCTGCACCTGCCGCCGCTGCCCCTCAGGTTGCAGCTTTTCAGTGGCTGCGTTTTCACACACACAGGATTTAAGTTCTGATGGGTGCAGTGTAAAACCCACGCTCGTTTTCTCCACCCTCACTTATTCAGTGATAACTCTTCTTTCCCACATTTTTCTCCTCTATTCGCCCTCCCACACCCTTAGGCCACAGTCCCCAGGGTGCATGAAGACTTCCTGAAGGGCACGTGGCCGTGGAGAGCTGTGTGGTTCTGTGCTGATCTTCCACTTCCAGGTACTCTTTCCTAAAATCACCCAGGGTGCCCCTCTCCCTCCCCCTCTGAATAGACTTTGTATTTAAGAGCAGTTTTAAATACACAGCAAAATGGACGGGAAAGTCGAGTCCCCACGCACCGCTGCCCTAACACACCCACAGCCCCCCACATCCGTGTCCCCACCAGGTCCTTGCACCGGCTACAACCGGTGAGCCCGCAGGGTCACAGTTACCAACCAGAGTCCGTGCTGCCCTTCCGGGACACTCTCGCACATTCTGTGGGTCTGGACAAATGCGCAGCAACACGTGCCACCACTCTGGTGCCGCTCGGAAGAGTTTCGCGCTCCCGGAAGTCCCGCGTGCCCTGCCTCCCCAGCCCCCACCCCCGCCTTCCACTGTCTCCCTGGGTTTGCGCTTTCCCGGAGGCCGCCCAGTGGG